CCTCTGCGGAGATCGTGCGTGTCGAGTGCGCGAAATGCAGGCGAGAGGGCGATTTGCCGGCTGCCCTCGCAACCCTCTGCGTAGATCGTGCGTTTCGAGCGCGCGAAATGCACGCGAGAGTGCGATTTGCCGGCATACAACTTAGCACGCAGAGTAGCTGGGGAGTGGGAAGATGAGAACTGATGAGTGGGTAGTAGCTGAGAACTCGCGACTTTGTAGTACAACTTTAGTACGAGGAGTGGCTGGGGAGCTGGAAGATGAGAGCTGGCGACTTGGTAGTACAAATTTAGGACGCAGAGCAGCCGGGAGTGGGAAGAGGAGAACTGGCGACTTGGCAGTGCAACTTTAGTACGCAGAGTAGCTGGGGAGTGGGAAGATGAGAATTGGTGAGTGGGTAGTAGCTGCGAAGGGGCGACTTTACAGCGCAACTGTAGTGCGCGGAGTAGCGGGGGAGCTGGAAGATGAGAAGTGGCGACTTGGTAGTACAACTTTAGTACGCAGAGTAGCTGGGGAGTGGGAAGATGAGAACTGGTGAGTGGGTAGTAGCTGAGAACTGGCGACTGTGTAGTACAACTTTAGTAGTGCGCGGAGTCGCGGGGGAGCTGGAAGATGAGAAGTGGCGACTTGGTAGTACAACAGTAGTACGCAGAGTAGCTGGGGAGTGGGAAGATGAGAACTGGTGATTGGGTAGTAGCTGAGAACTGGCGACTGTGTAGTACAACCTTAGTATGCGGAGTAGGTGGGGAGCTGGAAGATGAGAACTGGCGACCTGATAGTACAACTTTAGTACGCAGAGTAGCTGGGGAGTGCGAAGATGAGAACTGGTGAGTGGGTAGCAGCTGAGAACTGGCGACTGTGTAGTACAACTTTAGTAGTGCGCGGAGTCGCGGGGGAGCTGGAAGATGAGCAGTGGCGACTTGGTAGTACAACAGTAGAACGCAGAGTAGCTGGGGAGTGGGAAGATGAGAGCTGGTGAGTGGGTAGTAGCTGAGAACTGGCGACTGTGTAGTACAACCTTAGTATGCGGAGTAGGTGGGGAGCTGGAAGATGAGAACTGGCGACCTGGTAGTACAACTTTAGTACGCAAAGTAGCTGGGGACTGGGAAGATGAGAACTGGCGACTGGGTAGTACAACTTTAGTATGGAGAGTAGCTGGGAAATGGGAAGAGGAGAACTGGCGAGTGGGTAGTAGCTGCGAACTGGCGACGGTGTAGTATATAACTGTAGTGCGCGGAGTAGCTGGGGCGCTGGAAGATGAGAACTGGCGACTTGGTAGTACAACTAACACGTGCCTTTGACAACAGGCAGTGGAAGCCAGCTTGCTGGCTGCCATTGTCCAGATGGAAAGCCAGCACGTTGGCTACCATCATAGTTGAAGTGGGTAAGCCAGCACGCTGGCTGCCATTGTTGAGATGGCAAAGCCAGCACGCTGGCTAGCATCATAGTTGAAGTGGGTAAGCCAGCACGCTGGCCGCCATTGTCCAGATGGCAAAGCCAGCACGCTGGCTGCCATCATAGTTGAAGTGTGTATGAGCTAGCACGCTGGCTACCATCATAGTTGAAGTGGGTAAGCCAGCACGCTGGCTGCCATTGTTGAGATGGCAAAGCCAGCACGCTGGCTACCATCATAGTTGAAGTGGGTAAGCCAGCACGCTGGCTGCCATTGTCCAGATGGCAAAGCCAGCACGCTGGCTGCCATCATAGTTGAAGTGGGTATGAGCCAGCACGCTGGCTGCCATCATAGTGGAGTGGGAAAGCCAGTGAGCTGGCTCCCATAATCTAGATGGCAAAGCCAGCACGCTGGCTGCCATAGTATTCTTGTATAGATGTATATATGTATGTATAGATAGGAGGCAAAGCCAGCATAAAGCAGATGTTTATGAAATTCTTTCGCAGGTCTTTGGTGCTGTAGATCTTAGGCACGTTTGGTTTCGTGTTCGTGGCTCAAGCAGAGAGACCGCAGCAATTTCCAAGTGAGTTCGCGCAAGTCTCCACAGACTGTAGCCGGGAACGTACAGCAAGGCAAGAGCCGTGAAGAATGTACTTGCAAGAAGTTTCAACACACCTCAGAAGCTTCTCGTCAAGAGGCGCGCGGACCATGGCCACTCTGCAGGACGCAGTTCTGCGAAACGCGGAGGCAGCGGGTCAGCAGGAGCCAGAGGTGCAGCGCCTGCGAGCGGCACATGGAGAGGGAGGCGCGGCGTGGTTACGGACCGAGTTGGAGGCCAAGAGCACTTCCGACGTGCGGCAGCTGTGCGCGAAGTTGGAAGTGCCGCAGAGGCGCGACGGCAGAACCCTTCGGAAGGAGGAGCTGCTGGAATCCATAGTGGAGAGCTTCTCATCGCAGGAGGGATGGAGTCAGGGTATGGGCGTAGAGCGGTGTTGAACTTTGCACACAAGCTGTTTGTGTTGAAGTAGGTGTTGGCTAGACTCGATAGTGGAAAGCTGCGCTTTGCAGGAAGGGTTGTATTCGGGGATGGGTGTCTGCTTTTGGTATCCATGCAAAGTCCCTGACAGGAACCGTCGGATCCGAACGTTCAGGACGGTTTCGCGAAAGACATCTAGATATAAGACTTTCAATCTTTGTTAAGATACCCAATTTGTGTTAGGGGATGGGTGCAGTGTATCGTTTAACTTAGTCGAGAATCTGTTGTCTTGTGGTCCAATAGGTGTCTGCTTCTGATATCCCTGCAAATTCCCATACAGGCAGCAGGGCTGCAGGAGTCAGAGGTGCAGCGCCTGCAAGAGGGACATGGAGAGGGAGGCGCGGCATGGTTGCGGACCGAGTTGGAGGCCAAGAACACTTCCGACTTGCGGCAGCTGTGCGCGAAGTTGGAAGTGCCGCAGAGGCGCGACGGCAGAACCCTTCGGAAGGAGCAGCTGCTGGAATCCATAGTGGAGAGCTTCTCATCGCAGGAGGGATGGAGTCAGGGGATGGGCGTAGAGCGGTGTTTAACTTTGCACACAAGCTGTTTGTGTTGAAGTAGGTTTCGGCTAGACTTGATAGTGGGGCTGCTCTGCGCAGGGAGGGTTGTGTTCGGGGACGGGTGTCTGCTTTTGGTATCCAAGCAAAATCCCTGACAGGAACCGGGACATCCGAACGTTGAGGACGGT